TGGGAGGATTGATTATTTCTTTGACATATCTTCTTGTATAGTACCTTAAGTATGTATAGGTTTTAAACTACTAACTAATTTGCACACACATATTAACATAATAGGAATACGGTGACATAAACAAAGCAAATCTATAATTACCATCCATCTCCAGTGAAGCCAAGAAAACCATTTAGGCACCCTAGGCATTTGTGAAAATTTATCTATGATATGATGGATATTGTCCAACTGTACTTGAACCATCAGACAAATTAAAGCAGCCCATTTCTGGGATCTGTTCACATCCCATATGTTCTTTTAACCATAGATAGTCTATAGTCATGAGATTTTGGAGTGCTACAACTTGCACCCCTCCCAACTCCTGGTTGAGTTCCAACAGTACAGATCCGGTCAAATTCGTTGTCTCACTGTATGCACATGCCAGCCTAGACATCTCCTCCTCATTCCTATGGCAAGTCCAGGAGACGGTGGGCTGGATGCAGCCACAACCGCAGCATCGTCCGGATCCCTGTGGAGGCTTTTTGATGGTCATCCCCCGGCACAAGTCCTCCAGAGAGTGCTGATGCTGGAAGCTCCTCCTCATATCGTATCTTAGTTCATTTTCTGGGTATCCAAGCTAGGCCTTGATCTTCTGCATAGAAACAAACAGACCCTTTGCCCACGAAAGTAGGCTTTTTTTAATGGGAAATACGTAATTTGGATAGTCTAGAGTTGACTATAGCGATCAGTTTTAAAGTTCTTGCATGCTAGAGAAGCTGCTCACTCATCCCAAAACCCAGCACATCCTGTGGCATACTCCTTGCCCAGCATCCTTATTTTCCTGTTATTTCTTCTGTCCCTTTTTGTAGTTTTTCCCAGCTGGTTATCCTCTGCCCAGAACAATACTGGAAACAATCTTCTTTCTCAATTCTTTTTCTACATTCAATCCTGGCTGAGGCATCTAATTTAAACATCTTCACATCACTTTAGTACACATTTTCTTTTCTTAGCACACTTTAGTTTCCTTTAGATGCAGTATTATTCATAGTTATAATGTGTCATTTTGCTGTTGTATAGTTTTGTCTGTTTGACCTTTTCCTAAGTTGATCCTTGCTTGCTGCATACATCTTACTTGGGTGTGAATAGCTATTGCCCTTGGCAAGTATTTTGACTGCTAATTTAATTTTCCACACTTAACAAGCTAACAAAATTTCTTTTTTGGTATTTCTTAACTGGAATAGCACTGTCTAGATAGAACTTTCCATAGTGATAGGAATGTTTGCACTGTCTGATAAAATAGCCAATAGCTTCATGTGACTACTGAGCACTTGAAATATGGCTGATGCACCTAAGGAATTGAATTTTTTTATTTAATTTAATTTTAATAGCCCTGTGTGGCTAGTGGCTACCCTATTGAACTGTGCAGGACTAGAACATCATGTTCAGACTTTTTAGATTACAAGATAGAAACCAGTTTACACTAGCTTAAGGGGAAGAAGGATCTATCATTAACTGTCTAGGATGATGGTGAATCTGATATTAAACATTATTGGAACCAGGGGCACAAAAAGAGCTCTTTTTGCTTCATTCCATGGTTCTGCTTCTCTTGGATCTTACCCTCTTCTGTAAATGGATTTGGTCCATGTGATCACTGACAACTGTCAGCTGATACCCTATGTGCCTTGTGATGACAGGGGAAAAAGGCAATCTCCCCTGTGAGGAAAAGTTGTAGAGAAAGACACAGATTGGCCCAGCATGGGTCAGCTGTCCATCTTCAGATATTCACTGTGGACAGAGATAGGCTATTATAATTGGCCACACATAGGCCATTTGCCTACTCATGAGTGTAAATGGGGAATGGGTCCTATTTTTGGCAGCTTAATCAGATCAATGTGGAATAAAGGAGGTGCAGTTTTCCAAGGGAAGAAAGGATTCTGGCTAGGTAAAAACAACAGCTAAATTTTTATGTACTAATGTAATTAATTTTATAGTTCAATTCTATAGTCTATAAGTCTAAATTCTTTCAGTTATTAGTGTTAGAAATCCATCTCAAGGTAGTTCAAAAAAATTTTTTTAATAAGAATTTATTGGTTCTTCTAACTAAAACGTCTAGAGGTTATATGTCTTCAGACATGACTGATTACAGTTACTCAAGCAAAAATTGGTTTCTATCTCCATTTCTTGGTCCCACTTTCATCTGTGATCTCAGCGTTGTCCTCAGGCATACCAGCACATACAAGTGGACTTCTGACAGCATCATAAAGTACATGATCCACTCATCCGAGGATTTTAGGAGACCCCTCCTAGTGTCCATACTGTTATGCTTGAAGGGTTACGTGCTCCCTCTGTGGCCGGGGTAGCAGAGCCAAATGATTGACAATCCTATCAGAATGTTCCAGAGCCCCACCTGAATTACAAGGAGAAGGAAATAGGCAACAAAAGTAGAATACAGAGGAGATAAGACAGTAACAATTTTTTTTCATTCACATGCTGCTTTTCACATGAGTCTTGATTATAAATGATTTTCTGACATGGATTTAATTTACTTTTTGGATATGCTTCTTTGTTTTGATTTGCCTTTTAATAAGGGCAAAATAAAGGGTCTTTCACCATTTTGTTATTCACAGATTAGTGGAATTGAAGTTTCAGATGGAAGGGAAAATTATAAAGTAGTTTCACAGTATATAGTTAAATGATTTTATAATAGTTATATATGTCATATAAATTTTATAATAGCTACATAGTATATAATAGTTTTATAGCATAGTATAGTATATAAATGATGAGAGGCAAAGGGACTAATGAAAGAATAAAGAAAATAGCCCTCAGGAAATACAAAGAATTGTTCAAATCCTCTTCTGATTTTTTCATGATCCAATTTTCTTTGAATAACTGCATTGATATAGTTCTTCAACACATTACTAAATTAGCCTGTATTTCCCTTGCCTGAATATATTATTCTCAATCTCTGAAAAATTCATTGATATCATAGCAAAATTTTAGAAACAATCTCAATATCCACTAGTAGGATGTGAGGAGGGAGAACAATTTCTTCCTTCTACCCTTCTAGGTACTCAGCTGGTGCTCTGTAACAAGAGATTAATAAGAGAAAAACAAACAAATTTATTAATATGTATGTCTCATGGGAGAAACTCATGGATGAGTAACTCAAAGGAGCCGCTAGAACTTGAGTTTTTATAACATCTTAAAAAAACAATAAATTTTCAGAGAAGTGACAAGGCAAAGGAAAAGGACTTTAAGTTTCTAAAGTGGCAATTTTGGGGAATGTATGGGGGAATAATGGAAGATAAAGGCTGGTCAGGAGCATGTTATGTAGATTCCTTTGATGCTGATAAGGGTCTAGAGTTGTTTGTGATTATTTTGTACAAATTTAAGTCTTGTTTTTAGTCAAATGGGGGAAGGCAGAGAGCTTTTCTTGTGTCTTAGTTTTCTTAAGTTCAAAATAATCCTTATGCCTAAGTGGCACATTCTGTAGCAGCAAACTGTGCTACCCTTCAAGGGGGATATTAAATTAAAATAATTAAACTGTTGTATAGCTACTCAGTGGAATATTTTAAAACCTTTTAAAATAATAATTGTAGAATAAGATCAGTTGATTCTATCAGTGTAATATCATGGTTATAATACTGTAATAATAGTTTTACAAGGAGTTGCCGCTGGGAAATATGGGTAAAGGATGCACAGATCTCTGTATTTTTCTTACAACTATATGTGAATCAAGAGCTCAAAAAGTTTAATGAACAAATTTAAAAATTATAATTTATATAGTGTAATAACATGCAATACTTATCTTTACTTATGTAAAAAGATCAGGTTAAAATCAATTGTACACTATATTATAACTTTTTAAAATTACACATTGAAAAAACGAGTAGAGAAGGTGCACCAAACGGTCACAAAGTTGCTGGATTTTAGATAATTTTTCCTTTCTTTATACTTTTCATCATTTTATAACTGTCCTACTATGAATACATACTATAACTTTTCTAATCATCAAAAAAGTAAAAGTTATCTTTTAAAAATACCTTTAAAAATCTTGCTTTCTCAGCATGCCAATGTGAAGGAAAAGATAACCGAATCCCATTACTGAAGGAAGTTTTTGAGGCCTTTCCTAACACTCCCATTAACATCGATATCAAAGTCAACAACAATGTGCTGATTAAGAAGGTACTTAAGGCATTGCCTCCTCTGGGTGTGTTGCATCCAATTTCACAAACTAAATAAAGCTAGAGTAGGTGACTGCATAGATTAATATTGCTCAAGGAAATGTGATACTATAAGGATCAGTATTGCTATGAATAATGCCCTTGTAGAAGAGATCACTTTACCATAGGAAAGCCTATTTTCAGAGTGAGTTGTCATGTCTCAGTCATGGATAAATGTGAGCTCCTGTGAACCAACTGTTCTGGCATTAATATTATTAACTTCTTCTAGTTTAACTTGTCTCCTTTGTAGTTGTAGTTTATGTCAAATTACTAAATAGTTGTATTCTATTAACTAAATCATATAATAGTAAAATGTAAGTAATTTCTTATATTTTATAAAATAGTCTGTATATCAGTTCTTCCAACATTTTTACTATTCACTGGCAGATAGTTAATTGTAATCCAATTTTTAAGTGAAATAATATAAGTGGGTTTACAAATAGGCACATGCATCAACTTTTGAATTTTTGTATGTAGGTTTCAGAGTTGGTGAAGCAGTACAGACGAGAACACATAACGGTGTGGGGTAATGCCAGTTATGAAATTGTAGAAAAGTGCTACAAAGAGGTAAGCTTCTGAAATGATTCAGAAAAATCCATCTTTGTTGTTGTATAAATGTAATTACAGTAATAATTTTTAAAAATTATTTCATAGCTTTGATACAAAGACAGATGAAAGCCATTAACCAGAAGTTTACTAATAGAGATAGTGGACTTATAGATAATAGATTTATAGCAGTACCCCCTTATCTGAGGAGGATATGTTCCAGTACCTCCAGTGGGTGCCTGAAACCATAGATAGTACTATACCCCTGTATGTACTGTGGTTTTTCCTACACATATGTACCTGTGATAACTTTAATTTGTAAATGAGGTACAGTAGGAGATTAATAGAAGTAACTAATAATAAAATTATATATTATAATTATATATATTATAGACAATACATACAATAAAAACAAGTATAATATAATAAAATAATAATTATTATACATAGTAATAATTATATACTGTAATACAAGTCATGTGAATGTGCTCTCTCAAAAATACTTTGTACTGTTTTACTCTCCTGTGATGATGTGAGATGATAAAGTGCCCGTGTGGTGAGATGAAGTGAAGTGATACATAGGCATTGTGATGTAGTGTTAGGCCACTACTGATCTCCTGATGATATGTCAGGAGGAGGGTCACCTGCTCCTGGACTGTGGTGACCTGCATAACTGAAACCACAGGCAAGGGGCGCTACTGTGATAGAGATAATGGACTCTACAACTTAAATTCAGTATGATTGGACTGGCTTACAGAATTTTTATTTTCACATGCTAAAAGCAGCTGTTTGCCAACATTATATATATATATATTATAAACAAAACATAGTTCCTATTTTTTAATGTCTGTTTTTTGTTAAATAATTATACAACTTTGAATTAAAGAAAGTATTTAGTCCTTCAGTTCTGTAGATTAAGCTTTTCTTTACCCTACCTTATCAAATAGAATTAATCAAATTAAGCCAGGATCATGTTTATCAGTTAGTATAAAGTGTTTTTCTTAGTGTATGAATTTGCAGAAATCAAGGTGTTTCAAGGACTTGTATTTTGTGTTGCAGGTGAAACAGCTGTATATAAATGAACCAAAAATAATACAAAGCAGCATGTGAACATAGGGGAAAAGAAATTCTTAAACTTTTGTATTCAAAAAATAAAGAAGTGGGTAATTTAGAGTTGATACTTAAATTATTTTTTGCATAATTTTTTTAATATGTTATCGCTATATAGAAAAATTCAATTCTACCATAAATTTTATTTGTTTTAAAGACAAATATAAGAGGGGCCTGGGGTGGGGGGGGTAGTTGTCTACTAAGTGTAGAGTTTCAGTTTTGCAAGATGAAAATAGTATATATGTATAAGCTGGTATTCTAAGGGTTTTGAGATCTTGAACACATTTTCCAATTGAAATTTTAAATGGTTCACTAGATTCTTGGATTAAATTACAAACTCATATTATATTTGGTGCTTAATATAGGTCAAAGATGATATTTACAATAGTGTATATTTATATCTATATTCATATTTTAAATATAATATCTATTTATAGATATTCATATCTGTCATATCCTATTAAAAAATATATAAGTAGGACTGGGGCTCAAGACACCAGCATGAGTAGGGCGGCGGAAATCTCCTCCCAAAACCATATATATTTTTGAAAATACAACCAATACAACTATTCGTAAAAGAGAGACCAGAAGATACAGTACGACAGCCAGGCTACATCTACATCTGTGAGAACTCAGCATCTCACAAAAAGGATAAGATACAAAGCCATGACCCAGCGGGACCTGAGCACTCCCCCCACCCCAGCTCACTGGCAGGAGGAAAAGAATCAGAGTGAAGAGGGACTGGAAGCACAGGACTGCTAAATAACCAGCCCTAGTAATATGCACTGGGAGCACAGACACACATTGCATGGTGTACTGGATATTAGAGAAATGGAAAAGTAAATTCTGAGACAGAGACTGCGAGCAGGTCCCCACAACCAGCTCCCCTGGGACAAAAGAAAAGTGGGTACTTTTTAAAAGTCTTAAAGGGACAAGGGCTCAACAGCTGGACAAAATCATCCCAGCACACTCAGCCCAAGCAGGCTGGGAATCTTGAGGAACTTCAAGCCCCCTAACCCCCTGGGGGGTAAAGCAGCCCCAAAGACCCTCACAGCGATAAGTAGCCTGCTATTTATTCCCCCGGCCAGCACTGCAAGCAAACCGGCTGACATGCCACAACTGTGGAGCAGCTGGAGAACAGCACTGCCCACAGCAATGACACAGAGTCTCCTCCCAGTGTGCAGCTAACTGGGACAGACGGAGGAAGCCAGAACAAGGTCCGGAAGGCACAAAGGGGCTCCATTCTCACAGGAAAACACACCTGGCATGTCTGCCACTCTCCACAGTGCACTAGGCTATCCTGAGGGACACCCCGCCCATGGCAGCTAAGGAGATTATACAAGACACTGCTCCCGGTGAGCGGGTAACCAGCACAGGCAGCCGAAGCCGGAGCAAGGTCCAGAAGGGGCGCCATTCTCGCAGGAGAACACACCCAGTGCAGCTGTGACTCCCGCACTGCGCTAGGCTATACCGAGGGCGGCCCTGCCACGGCAGCTCAGGGGATTATCCCAGAGACTGCTCCCAGTGTGTGGGTAGATGGCACAGGCAGCAGAAGCCGGAGCAAGGTCCAGAAGGCATGAAGGGGTGCTGTTCTCACAGGAGAACACACCCAGTGCAGCTGCCATCCCCCACAGTGTACTAGCTATCCCGAGGGCCGCCCTGCCCACAGCAGCTCAGGAGATTATCCCAGAGACTGCTCCCAGTGTGCGGGTAACTGGCACAGGCAGCAGAGAGGGGCAGGGCAACCAACAAGCAAGAAGGGACTTTGTTCTCCCAGCTGACACACATAACATCTACCTGCAACCACTTCTATCGCCATGAAAAGGCAGAAGAATCTGGTCCAGTCAAAAATCACTTAAACAACTCCAGAGAGAGGGCCTGGTGAGATAGATATAACCAATATTCCTGAAAAAGAATTCAAAATAGAAGTCACAATCATGCTGATGGGCCTGCAGAGAAATATGCATGAGCAAAGGGATGAAGTCCGGAAAGAGACAACAGAAATGAAACACTCAATAGAAAATTTTAAGAGCAGACTGGACAAGGTGCAACAGATGCTTAATGGAATAGAAATCAGAGAACAGGAATACAGAGAAGCTGAGGCAGAGATAAAAGGATCTCTAGGAATGAAAGAATATTAAGAGAACTGTGTGATCAATCCAAATGGAACAATATTCACATTATAGGGGAACCAGAAAAAGAAGAGAGAGAAAAAGGGATAGAAATTGTCTTTGAAGAAACAATTGCTAAAAACTTCCACAAGCTGCGGACGGAAGAAGTCTCTGAGACCATGGAAGTCCACAGATCTCCTAACACAAGGGACCCAAGGAGAACAACACCAAGACATATAATAATTAAAATGGCAAAGACAGAGTATTAAAGGCAGCCAGAGAGAGTAAAAAGATTACCTCCAAAGGAAACCCCATCAGGCTCTCATCAGAATTCTCAACAGAAACCTTACAGGCCAAAAGACAATAGCATAATATATTTAATGCAATGTAACAGAAGGGGCTTGAACCAAGAATACCATATCCAGCATGATTATCATTTATATTTGAGGGAGGGATTAAATAATTTCCAGACAAGCAAAAGTTGAAGAAATTTGCCTCCCACAAACCATCTCTACAGGATATTTTAAAGGGACTACTGAGGACAGAAGCACTCCTAAGGCTAAATAGGTGTCACCAGAGAAAATAAAATCACAGCAAAGAAAGCAGACCAACCAAATACTAACTAAAGGCAAAAAATAAAATCAACTATCCACAAAAGCAGTCAAAGGAGACACAAAAGAGTACAGAATAAAACACCTAACATATAAAGAATGGAGGAGGAAGAATAAGAAGAGAGAGAAATAAAGAATCATCAGACTGTGTTTATAATAGCTTACTAAGAGAGTTAAGTTAGATGGTTTGTTAGTAAAGAAGCTACCTTTGAACCTTTGGTAACCACAAATCCAAAGCATGCAATGGTAATAAGTGCATATCTTTCAATAATTACCCTAAATATAAATGGACTGAATGCACCAATCAAAAGACACAGAGTAATAGGATAGAGATAAAAGAGCAAAACCCATCTATATGCTGTTTACAAGAGACTCACCTCAGACCCAAAGATATATATAGACTAAAAGTGAAGGGATGCAAAAAGATATTTCATGCAAACAATAGGGAGACAAAAGCAGGTGTTGCAGTACTTGTATCAGACAAAATAGACTTCAAAACAAAGAAAGTAACAACAGATAAAGAAGGACATTACATAATGATAAAGGGGTCAGTCCAACAAGAGGATATAACCATTATAAATATCTATGCACCCAATACAGGAGCACCGACATATGTGAAACAAATACTAACAGAATTAAAGGAGGAAATAAAAGGCAATGCATTCATTTTAGGAGACTTCAGCACACCACTCACTCCCAAAGGACAGATCAACTAGAAAGAAAATAAGTAAGGACACAGAGGCACTGAACAACACACTAGAACAGATGTACCTCACAGACATCTACAGAACTCTACACCCAAAAGCAGCAGGATACACATCCTTCTCAAGTACACATGGAACATTTTCCAGAATAGACCACATACTAGGCCACAAAAAGAGCCTCAGTAAATTGAAAAAGATTGAAATTCTACCAACCAACTTCTCAGACTACAAAGGTATAAAACTAGAAATAAATTGTACAAAGAAAGCAAAAAGGCTCACAAACACATGGAGGCTTAACAACATGCTTCTAAATAATCAGTGGATCAACAACCAAATTAAAACAGAGATCAAGCAATATATGGAGACAAATGACAACAACAGCACAAAGCTCCAACTTCTGTGGGAAGTAGCAGAGGCAGTTCTAAGAGGAAAGTATATAGCAATCCAAGCCTATTTAAAGAAGGAAGAACAATCCCAAATGAATAGTCTAAAGTCACAATTATTGAACCTGGAAAAAGAAGAACAAATGAGGCCTAAAGTCAGCAGAAGGAGGGACATAATAAAGATCAGAGAAGATAAAATAAAACTGAGGAGAATAAAACAGTAGAAAAAATCAATGAAACCAACAGCTGGTTCTTTGAGAAAATAAACAAAATAGATAAACCCATAGCCAGACTTACTAAGAGAAAAAGAGAATCTACACACATAAACAGAATCAGAAAGGAGAAAGGAAAAATCATGATGGACCCCACAGAAATACAAGGAATTATTAGAGGATACTATGGAAATCTATATGCCAACAAGCTGGAAAACCTAGAAGAAATGCACAGCTTCTTAGAAAAATACAACCTTCCAAGACTGACCAAGGAGGAACAGAAAATCTAAACATACCAATTACCAGCAATGAAATTTAATTGGTAATCAAAAAACTACCCAAGAACCAAACCCCCAGGCCAATGAATTCACCACTGAATTTTGTCAGACATATAGAGAAGACATAATACTCATTCTCCTTAAAGTTTTCCAAAAAGTAGAAGAGGAGGGAATACTTCCAAACTCATTCTAGGAAGCCAGCATCATTCTAATACCAAAACCAGGCAAAGATCACACAAAAAAAGAAAATTACAGACCAATATCCCTGATGAACATAGATGCAAAAATACTCAACAAAATATTAGCAAACCGAATTCAAAAATACATCAAGGGGATCATACACCATGACCAAGTGGGATTCATCTCAGGGATGCAAGGATGGTACAACATTCGAAAATCCATCAACATCATCCACCACATCAACAAAAAGAACAAAAACGACATAATCATCTCCATAGATGCTGAAAAAGCACTTGGCAAAATTCAACATCCATTCATGATAAAAAAACTCTCAACAAAATGGGTATGGAGGGCAAGTACCTCAACATAATAAAGGCCATATATGACAAACCCACAGCCATCATTATACTTAACAGCGAGAAGCTGAAAGCTTTTCTCCTAAGATCAGAAAGAAGATGGGGATGCCCACTCTCCCCACTGTTATTCAGCATAGTACTGGAGGTCCTAGCCATGGCAATCAGACAAAACAGAAATACAAGGAATCCAGATTTGTAAAGAAGTCAAACTGTCACTATTTGCAGATGACATGATATTGTACATAAAAAACCCTAAAGACTCCTCTCCAAAACTACTAGAACTAATATTGGAATTCAGCAAAGTTGCAGGATACAAAATTAATACACAGAAATCTGTTGCTTTCCTATATACTAAGAATGAGCTAGCAGGAAGAGAAATCAGGAAAACAATTCCGTTCACAATTGCATCAAAAAGAATAAAATAGCTAGGAATAAACCTAACTGAGGAAGTGAAAGACCTATACCCTTAAAATCACAAGACACTCTTAAGAGAATTAAACAGGACATTAACAAATGGAAACGCATTCTATTCTCTTTGCTAGGAAGAATTAATATTGTTAAAATGGCCATCCTGCCTAAAGCAATCTACAGATTCGATGCAATTCCTATCAAAATACCAACAGCATTCTTAAACGAACTGGAACAAATAGTTCAAAAATTCATATGGAACCACAAAAGCCCCTGAATAGCCAAAGCAATCCTGAGAAGGTAGAATAAAGCAGGGGGGATCTCACTTCCCAACTTCATGCTCTACTACAAAGCCACAGTAATCAAGACAATTTGGTACTGGCACAGGAAGACCCACAGACCAGTGGCACAGAATAGAGAGTCCAAATGACCCAAACATATATGGTCAATTAATATACAATACAGGAGTCATGGACATACAATGGAGAAACGACAGCCTCTTCAATGGCTGGTGTTGCCAAAACTGGACAGCTACATGTAAGAGAATGAAACTGGATCATTGTCTAACCCCATACATACAAGTAAATTTGGATTGGATCAAAGACCTGAATGTAACTCATACATAAAACTCTTAGAAATAAACATAGGCAAAAATCTCTTGGACATAAACATCAGCAACTTCTTCATGAATATATCTCCCCGGGCAAGGGAAACAATGCAAAAATGAACAAGTGGGACTATATGAAACTGAAAAGCTTCTGTACAGCAAAGGACACCATCAACAGAACAAAAAGGCATCCTACAGTATGGGAGAATATATTCATAAATGACATATCCGATAAAGGGTTGACATCCAAAATACATAAAGACCTCACGCACCTCAACAAACAAACAGCACATAATCCAATTAAAAAATGGGTGGAGGATCTGAACAGACGCTTCTTCAAAGAAGAAATTCAGATGGCCAACAGGCACATGAAAAGATGCTCCACATCGCTAATCATCAGAGAAATGCAAATTAAAACCACAATGAGATATCATCTCACACCAGTAAGGATCGCCACCATCCAAAAGACAAACAACAACAAATGTTGGTGAGGTTGTGGGGAAAGGGGAACCTTCCTACACTGCTGGTGGGAATGTAAATTAGTTTAACCATTGTGGAAAGCAGTATGGAGGTTCCTCAAAAAGCTCAAAATAGAAATACCATTTGACCCAGGAATTCCACTCCTAGGAATTTACCCTAAGAATGCACCAGCCCAGTTTGAAAAAGGCATATGCACCCCTATGTCTATCTCAGCACTATTTACAATAGCCAAGAAATAGAAGTAACCTAAGTGTCCATCAGTAGATGAATGGGTAAAGAAGATGTGTACATATACACAATGGAATATCATTCAGCCATAAGAAGAAAACAGATCCTACCATTTGCAACAACACGGATGGAGCTAGAGGGTATTATGCTCCGTGAAATAAGCAGATGGAGAAAGACAAGTATCAAATGATTTCACTCATCTGTGGAGTATAAGAACAAAGAAAAAACTGAAGGAACAAAACAGCAGCAGACTCACAGAACCCAAGAATGGACTAACAGTTACCAAAGGGAAAGGGACCGGGGAGGATGGGTGGGAAGGGAGGGAGAAGGGGAAAAAAGGGGCATTATTATTAGCAGACATAATGTAGTGGGGGGCATGGGGAGGGCAGTACAACACAGAGAAGACAAGTAGTGACTCTATAGCATCTTACTACGCTGATGGACAGTGACTGTAATGGGGTATGTGGTGGGGACTTGATGATGGGGGGAATCTAGTAACCATAATGTTGCTCATGTATTTCTAGATTAATGATACCAAAATTAAAAAATACGTATATATAAGTATATATCTATAAATATAAATACTTACATATCTATACCTGAATATAGATTTAAAATATATATGAATATATGTATAGATATATAGTTACCTTTTTTTGGAGTAAGGTTATTGAATATTTTGTATCTTTATTTCTTTATTTTGTTCCATTAGATTCAGTATGTTTAATCTTTAGTGATACATGCTATCACCAACAGAGATAAGTGGTGTTGCAAAAGCAGAGAGTAGGGAATAGATAAATTTTAATATCATCAATTAACTATATAGGGCTCCATGGTAGATTCCGATCCACTGGTCGAGGACTCGCCGTTTCTAAGTGAGGTGTGTTTGGGAATGGATATTGATAATTCAGGGAGTACCTTTAACAAATGTCAAGATGCAGTCCTGGGGAATTTTGAGGGTGTGAAATAATCCTCTTTTATTCAAGCAGCTATAAAGTAACATATAATATTGTTTGTGTCTTTTAGAACTCAGATATTCCTATACTTTTCAGTGTGCAACGTGTTTTGCTTGTTCTTGGCCTGTTCTTCACTGGTCTCTTGCCGTTTGTGCCTATTCGAGAACAGTTTTTTGAAATCCCAATGCCTTCTATCATATTGAAGTAAGTGGTTCCCTGTTTTCATCAATTATCAATTACAGGAGGACTAAGATAAAGGCTCATTAATAACACTGTCAGTGATAAAGAATGGCTTGCTATAGTTATTTCTGTGTTTGATTAGCTGACCTACATTAACAATGCTTTTTGATATAATTATGACACATCCTCTAAAATGAATAAGTGATTATAAGTATTTAATCTGGACCCATTTCAGGAAACAGTAACTGTGCCTGTTAAAAGAAGTATTCAGAAGTCAGGTTAAAAGAACTGGACTTAATTTTTGAAGCTAATGATTCTTTTATTCTAATACCTAATAGCAATTGTCTTCCAACTTCCTTTCTATTTCTTTGATAACTTGTAATGGAAATTCCATTAAGCTTTAAATTCACCACTAGTATTAATACATTTAGGAAGCTAAACCACTAGACCACCACCACAACAACCAAAAAAACCTCTGGAGGTAAGAGAAAGGAAAGGATAGTATTAGTTTATATAAGATACTTCTTTTCTAATATAATTTCTCTACTGGGTATAAAGCCTTGCTTTTCACACACTAATTTAGTACAAGATAAAAATATATAAAACACTTAGCATTTCCTGGCAAATAATAAGCATGCAATAAATGATAGCTTTTATTGTTAAATTATCTTTATCATTTTCACTAAATAAAGATAGCTTCATCTCACAATCCTGCACTCTCAGAATGTGATTTCTAACTGTACATTTTTAATAGTAACTACATCATGACAAAGGAATTTGGAGCTTCTGGGGAGGTCATTTAAATGTGATTTCACCTGTATGAAACATTTTTCATCCCCAAATAGAACTTTAAAAAAAAAATCAAGCCAAACATTAGTGCAGCAGTCATTGGAAAATATTGGCAAGATAAACTATTTAGTCAATCCTTTCGTACTCAGCATCTATGTTCCATGCTTATTTTCTAATTTGGGTTTCTTAGTGATGAGTATGTTTATTTTATTTATTCCCAATTATATTTATTAGCAGTCTTTGTAGCTATTTCTCAGACAAAACAACAGAAGTCACTTCTTATCTACAAAGAAACCATTTTTTATTTGCTAGATTAAAACGATTCCTAACCATGTATTCCTAAAGCACTTAGTTTCTCCACTGGACTGGAATGGACTACTGTGCTCTCTAGATTGTATCCATGTGTTCCACTTAGAAGCAAATATTATTGAAATGCAATCTTCATACTCCTTTTTCTAAAAAGTGATCATGGATTAAGAAACAGGTAGAATATTGTTTTTGTGTGTTTTAATTTTTCTTAGGGAAGACAGTGGGCACTTCCTAAACATAATAATTTGTGTTCAACAAGGTAATTAGTATTTGAGATACTAAATCCATGTGATTCCTGAAATTGCAACCAGGACTTCCCACTTGGACTAGAGAGTTAGGGAAAAAAGGATTTTATTTAGAAAGCTTCCAATAAAAACTGAATTCAGAAAGAAAAAAAATGAACTTAGGTGTGGAAACTCAGAATTACCCTAAGAGTAGAGACAGGAGGAGTTAGAAGGGAAGCAATAAATGAGGACCTGGGAAGAATAAAAATCACAAGGTATTGTTAAACTTAGAAGCTGAGAAATCTTCCTAATAGAGACTCTAATTGGAGATTTCCTATGGGCACAACCCAAAGTTAATGACACAGGGAGTTGTATTGCTCTAGGTATCGAAGAGATTAAAGAAGGAACTCAGCATAGGTCTAAAACATATTTAATTAATTAATTAATTTTCTTTCTCCTTTTTTTTGGGTCTAAAACATATTTAAATAGGAAAGATAATTAAAAAGTACAGGGCCTAGGACTTCAGATATTGAAAGGGAAAGAAAAAAACACAACTTTATTTTTTTTAGTCTCCTTTTTACCCCAAATGTCCTCTAATCCATAAAGTTTGGTTGTGTGTTTAAATCTACTATATACTAAATTATACCAGACAAAGGAAAAAAAAGAGGCTTCACCAAAAAAGAGAAGAGAGACTTAAACCTCAGGCACCCAGGGTCTCTGGAAAGATAACTTCCATTTACTTATTTTTGTCTTTGAATAGTGGTAGCAAAAAGTTGGCTTTAAATCAATGGAAATAGAGAATCCAAATGGGCTTTAATTTATTTTTGTCCTTTTACAAATATTTTTTGGGCACATAGTCAGTGCAAGGCACTGTTTTTGATGTTGAACTTGTTGTGTTCCTTCACACTGATATATTCCTCTGTTTCTAATTTATGATTCAAATTTTATTTTGCCATAGGCTGAAAGAACCACACACCGTGTCCAGAAGTCAGAAATTTCTCATCTGGCTTTCTGATACGTAAGAATTGTACTTTCTTGATATAAAAATTATTGCTTTAGCTATTATCTATTAAATACTATGCTTATAATTTAGAGAAAGCTTTCTTCATGTAATTTGTAACAAGGATGTGTTGAGCACCTACTATGTAAGTGGATGTGTATGAATCATTTAGAACTGGTTTAATTTCTAGTCACAAAACCTCAGGAGGAATCTTGAGGACAATCTCATCCAACTTCAGAAGAAAACTGAGCACCTGATTTACCTGGGGTTGTCTGGCTATTTAGTAGCAGAGCCGGGATAGATAACCATTCCCTTCTACTTATTTGCTGTTTCCATTAGCCTATAGTCAAAAACATGGTGAAAAGACGTGTGTACAGCAATACAGTGTATATAGGACTGTGTACTGACAAATGGCACATGTCTCAGAAAATGTGTATGAAGACTTGATAGTAGAGAGGAAGCCCCACTTGTCAGGTGGGCATCTACTTGGAAGAAAATGCCTTAATTCCTAAGGCATGTTAAGTTTAATTTTGGTTAAAAACCACAAAGTTAGTATGCTGTATTTTGCTTTAAAATAGTACCTTAAATACTTAAATACTAGTCCTAAACGACAAACTTTTATTATTGAACTCCTCTTTCAAAGAGTTGAAAAACTAATTTTGCCTTTTCTTACTGCCACAGGGTTTATTCTTTTTTGCCTTATTCCTTACTTGACTTCTAGTTTTAAAGGATGCATTTTTTTATTAATGTATCATTGATAATACATTCTTGTAAAGGTTTAATATGAAAAACATGGTGGTTACAACAGTCATCCATATTATCAAGTCCCCCCCACACCCCATTGCAGTCACTGTCCATCAGCATAGTAAGATGCCACAGAGTCACTACTTGTCTTCTCTGTGCTGTACTGTCTTCCCCATGATCCCCCCAACTGTGTGTGCCAGTTATAATGCCCCTCAATCCCCTTCTCCCTCCCTTCCCACCCACCCTCCCTCACCCCTCCCCTTTAGTAACTGCTAGTCCCTTCTCAGAGTCTGTGAGTCTGCTGCTGTTTCATTCCTTCAGTTTTGCTTCGTTGTTATACTCCACAAATGAGGGAAATCATTTGGTACTTGTCTTTCTCTGCCAGGCTTATTTCACTGAGCATAATACCCTCTAGCTCCATCCATGTTGTTGCAAATGGTAGGATTTGTTTTCTTCTTATGGCTGAATAATATCCCATTGTGTATATGTACACATCTTCTTTATCCATTCATCTACTGATGGACACTTAGGTTACTTCCATTTCTTGGCTATTGTAAATAGTGCTGTGATAGACATAGGGGTGCATATGTCTTTTTCAAACTGGGCTGGTGCATTCTTAGGGTAAATTCCTAGGAGTGGAATTCCTGGGTCAAATGGTATTTCTATTTTGAGCTTTTTGAGGAACCTCCATACTGCTTTCCACAATAGTTGAACTAGCTTACATTCCCACTAGCAGTGCAGGAGGGTTCCCCTTTCTCTACAACCTCGCCAACATTTGTTGTTGTTTGTCTTTTGGATGGTGGCGATCCTTACTGAGGTAATATCTCATTGTGGTTTTAATTTGCATTTCCCTGATGATTAACAATTTGGAGCATCTTTTCATGTGCCTGTTGGCCATCTGAATTTCTTCTTTGGAGAAGTGTCTGTTCATATCTTCTGCCCATTTCTTAATCGGGTTATTTGCTTTTTGTTTGTTGAGGCGTGTGAGTTCTTTATATATTTTGGATGTTAACCCCTTGCCAGATATGTCATTTACAAATATATTCTCCCATACTGTAGGATGCCTTTTTGTTCTGTTGATGGTGCCCTTTGCCGTACAGAAGCCTTTTGGTTTGATGTAGTCCCATGTGTTCATTTTTGCTTTGGTTTCCCTTGCTCAAGGAGATGCATTCAGGAAGAAGTTGCTTATGTTTATATTCAGGAGATTTTTGCCTCTGTTGTCTTCTAAGAGTTTCATGGTTTCCTGACTTAGATTCAGGTCTTGGATCCACTTTGTGTTTACTTTTGTGTATGGAGTTAGAGAATAATCCAGTTTTGTTCTCTTGCATGTAGGTGTCCAGTTTTGCCAACACTAGCTGTTGTAGAGGCTGTCATTTCCCCATTGTATATCCTTGGCTCCTTTATCGTATATTAATTGACTATACATGCTTGGGTTTCTATCTGGGCTCTCTATTCAGTTCCATTGGTCTATGGGTCTGTTCTTGTGCCAGTACCAAATTGTCTTGATTACTGTGGCTTTGTGGTAGAGCTTGAAGTCAGGCAGCATAATCCCCCCAGCTTTATTCTTCCTTGTCAGTATTGTTTGGGCTATTTGGGGGCTTTTGTGGTTCCATGTGAATTTTAGAACTGTTTGTTCTAGCTTGTTGAAGAATGCTGTTGGTATTTTGATAAGGATTGATTTAGACAAGATGGCCATCTTGACAATATTAATTCTTCCTATCCATGAGCACAGGATGTATTTCCTTTATTGTGTCTTCTTTAATTTCTCTCACGAGTGTCTTGTAGTTTTCAGGTTATAGGTCTTTCACCTCCTTGATCAGATTTATTCCTAGGTATTTTACTCTTTTTGATGCAATTGTGAATGGAATTATTTTCCTGATTTCTGTTTCTGCTAGTTCATTGTTAGTATATAGGAATGCAACAGATTTCTGTGTATCGATTTTGTATGCTGCCACCGCTGAATTAAATTATTAGTTGTAGTAGTTTTCGGGTGGATTCCTTTGGGTTTTTTATGTTCAAGGATGCATTTTTAATGGATGTTAAATGCATATGATTTTTAGTTTCTGTCACTTAATCGTTCTAATGGACATAAACAGTATAGAAATAACTTGTATAGCTTTCCAGAACAATTAGTTCCCACCTTGCTTTAGTGATTTGTATTCTAAAAGGTCACTTTTAAGTCAGCTATTTGGCACTAAAATAAAATGTGCTTTTCCTATATATATAGGATAGTGTAACTAATGCACATTAAGCTTCTAAGATAGTTCACAGGATAGTTCACAGAAGACTAATTATGGAAATGAACTATGATGCTATAGAACTTGACCCAAGTTCACTGCCTTATTTTAACTTGAGTGTTAGGAACACAGACCTCTCAGTGCTTTTTTCACTCTCATTGTGGTGCCAGCAGGGAAATGGAGGAATCCTCTTCTCCATTGAGAATGGTCTCCTGAGGACCTACTGGGAGAAGGAATAGAAAGGAGGTTCTGGGTGTCCACCAACGAGTAGCATCAGTGGAAGCAGGTGCAACAGTGAAGACATAAGTGCATCCACAACAGCTATTATTACTTGAGGCCATTGCTTCTAGTTTAAAACAGTGGGATTAGATTTAACAAGGAATTATAAACTCTGAATTGACCAAATTAGGACTAAAATCTAATCCTAGTCTTTGTTCAGACTAAGAAGTACCTAAATCTGTTCTGCTCTCCTCTTCTAGTTTACTAATGAGAAAAGCTTTGTTTGACCACCTGACTGCCCGAGGCATTCAGGTAAGTTTCTGGGATGTGCATTTTGGAAACTGCTGTAGGCCACCAGTTTAAAGTAAGTGTAAGGGGCAGGAATTTTTAACTGACCTAATTTGGCCCTGACTCTGATGCTGCTGTTTTTACTGGTTCACATATGAAGATCTTAACATCTGCCTTACAGTTAACAAGAAAGCATTGGCATTTCAGTGACTTAAGTCCACTCACATATAGGCAAGAATACCTGAAGCTAGAGGGGTGGGATATTGCATATGTAATGAGTAAGGGAGAATTTTTTTAAAAAGGATTTGGTGATTTCTTAAAATTACAGATTTAGAAGGTTCTTTCTAAATGTGCTGAGATGGTAATTGATCAATACTATTATAAGAGTAACTTCTTATACTTCTCATGCTTCTAACTTTCAGGTGTATATTTGGGTGTTAAATGAAGAACAAGAATATCAAAGAGCTTTTGATTTGGGAGCAACTGGGGTGATGACAGACTATCCAACAAAGCTTAAGGGTTTTTTACATAATTTGTCAACATAAAAAAGGAGATACTCAAAAACAGTCAAAGAAAACATGAAAAGACCTAAGGAAAAAAAATTTGCCATCATTCCCCTAAGCCATTTCCAGAATGGTAAAGGTTTAATCAGTTAAGTTTTTATTACCTCATTTTTAAGCCTGTCTGAGAATGTAGAAAATATATATTGTATATTTATTTTAAACAATATTGCATATTCTACATTTGTATATTGGTTAGAAAGATAACTGGTTATGAGATGTAAGTGGACTATTGATCAAGATGTCTGTATATGATGCAGTATTCTGTTATGAGTAATTCTAAAATCAAAGACTACTGGATAGATTTGACATTAGCCTTCACTGGAATAAGATAACCAATTAGTAAAAGAAAATTATTGAAGTCCATTACAGCTATTCTGAGTTGTCTTGTTGTTTCTGGGCACATCTTAGTTAAAGGGAAAAAGTACAGTGGAAGGAGAGCTTGGAAATCAGGGCTGTAGTTATCTGACAAGTTGTGCATTATTAACAGAAGGCAGACTCAAAGATTTAACTGAAGATTTCTTGATCAGAAATAAAATCTGTAAACTAAATTAGATTTCTTGGTTGCTGCTGTTAATGGGGACATTTTATTTGGAATCTTTTTCAGGTGTGTAACTATGCTACCATGTATTTTTGTTTTTTGTAAACATTAAAATTGGATTTATTAATAACTTAAGACAAAAGCCAAACAGTCATATTTCTATGTTTCCTCTAAAGAAATGTAAATTTACCATTTTTGGCAATGACTAACAGGTTGGGCACACATCTAGATTTTAAATAAGATCTTGAATACTCCTGATCACATGAAACTTATGAAAATGCATATCATTGTTTCTAATACTTAGAGTATGAACCATCTGTTCCTGATCTTCAAGAATTTATTCTTCGAGTATTAAGTGGAAACAGGATTTCCTAAAGCTTTAGACATCACTTTCTCAGCTTTCCTGGTGATTTCATGTAAATCTGTTTTTAATCATTTTGACTAATTTTCATTATCACTTTGGGAGGTAAATAAAATCTGGAATAATAAGTGTCTTTTACCTAGAAAGCATCTGTCATTTTGAGTTTGGTAGCTAACAGCGATGAAGGGTGATCATACTCTCCCACCTGTCCCTGAATGACATAAATAACATTTGGTTTTTTTGTTCTTTAAATGGAAATAAAGTTTTACAAGAACGAAATAAAGGTTACTCATTGTTTTTTTGCAGCTGTAATCCAAATATGCTTTATAGATTTTTTTTTTTGCAGAAGTTAATGAGGTGATGAATTAATAATATGAGTTAACTGTACCTGAGATTTCTCTCCAGCATAAGGAAAATAAAATATAGAAACACTTTTATGGTAAAGAAGTTGCTTCTTGGCATTTGAACAAATAACTTGGGCAGGTAATCCATTACATCAGTCATTTTCACTTTCACTTACTGTAATTTTGGGTTATAGTTGCTCGGGATCATTTTGATCATCGTTGATAATTCTTTTTGTTACTTCTTCTTTCCAAATTTTACATTGTTATGAGCAGAATCTGTTTAGAGCAGTTCATATTATTGAGCCAGCATATATTTTGCATCAACCAGTAGAACATAAAGTACCCAGTATGGTAACAATGTATAGAAAGTCATGTTTTAAAAGTTTGATGACTTCATAGTCAAGGTGATTTTAATTCGCTTAATAAAAGCATAGTAACTATAACAAGAGTTGATATTCATTGTCGGATAACATCTTAATACTGCTTTTCTGATTTAGGGCATCACATTTTAAAAGAGGTTGAATAGTTATACTCCTGACTGTACGTCAATTATGCTTCAATAAAAATTTTAAAATAAATAAAAGAGGTTAAATCCCCTTTCATTTAGAGCTACTGCTAGGCACAGTGATCGCCATGGTGGGGAAGGCTGGAGAAATGGTCAAAAGATGGGATCAGATGCTTCTACTGGGATGAGGCTGGCACTAGGTTTGACAGATCCAGCCGAGGTCTAGTCAGCATGCCAAAGCAAGGCAAGGACATGGCAGTGGAGAGCAGTTGGCAGTCATTTCAGCAACCAGTTGGCATGAGGGAGTTTCAGCATGAAGTAGTTAAGAGTTTCTCTGTAGAGCCAGGGTCCTAGAATGTAACCAAGGCAAAACAGAATACATGGTACCAGAAGAAGGACCCAGGTCTTGGGAAGAAACTTATTTATAGAACTGAAGAACAGAATGATAACACTGGACTAATTTTAGGGGTAAAGTGGTACTGAGTCCCAGAACTATTAAGCCTCTCGTTTCTGGCCAGGACTGCTTCTAGAAATTGGGGTGGGACCCTGACATAGGTGGGCATCTAGTAGCCATCAAATGTGGAGAAAGAATGCTGCAGTGGATTGGGAAAAAGGAACATAAAACATAAATCATAGTATGTTCAAGTATGGGAAACCATTAACATAGACTACAATGTGAATGAGTCTTAGAGCTGTGCAACATGGTGGCCCTGGAAAGGTGCATTAAAAAAAATCGAGAGAGAATCTGCTGTAGATAAGAGTGCCATTTGAAGGAAAGCCAGGAATACTTGGTGGAAGAGTTTATTCCAAATTGAAAGGCATAGGTCATAAGTAGATGGTTAAACTCAGGACCTTAAAACAAGAACCAAAACTGCTAGGCTTAGTCGTGACAATAATATGATGTAATCATTTCAGGACCAAAAGGCAAATGTAAATAGCAGTCTGAGACCAGGGACCAAAACATCATCAGAAGATATAATACACTTATGTTTGGAAAATTGGATCGTTCTATAATCTGAAATAAATATACAAGCCTAGACTAGAGAACAGTCCAGAAACTAGGTCAAAAGGCTAAGCAGATTTAATTGACATTAGATTACATAAAAATAAATTTGGCAATAGTCTATAGGATGGCAGAAGCCTGTAGCAACCCAGGCATGAAGTAATAAGGGTCCAGATGAAATTATGCTTTAATAAAAATTTTAAAATAAATAAAAGAGGTTGAAAGTAGTGGCAATGTAAGTAGGGAAACAATGAATCTATGTGTCTCTGTAAGGGAAGAATTAGTAAGTGTTGGTGACTAGATGAGCTTAAAAGAAGAAGGAAAAGTCACTTCTAACTCCAAAGCCACAAGAAAATGTGGAACTTAAAGAGGGGAACAGATGACTGTGGGTATTCTTTGAAAGGACAAAAAGTTTGAAACGACAGACATTTGAGTTGCTATGCATTAGATATATTAGCCCTTGGATGAAAAGGTAGGTCTGGAGGAATAGATTTAGGAGTTTTGTGTACTTTATAGGCACAAGATTGCAAACCTAGCACCTTAGAGGTGACCTTGGTTCCTACTCAGTATTCTACTTGCAATTTGAATAGGTTGCTATGCCGCCAGAAGCCTATGTTGTGAACAGCATGGTTCATACCACAGTGAGACTGACAACATACTTTCCCACTTATATGTGCCTTTTTCCTTCAAAAGTAGAGACCTCTATCAAAAAAAGGCTTAACTTACTATATTGTTTATAAAGAATACAAATGCATTGCTCTTGTTTGTCCAGAAGTTTTAAAATAAAGTTTTTCTGAAGCCCTAAAATAAGATGGGGCCTAGAAAGCTTTGGCTGGGTGAGTGGGGATGGTTAACGTTAACAGGAGGCTGAGCAGGTACAGCTGTGTGTTACCCATTCCTAATTTGACCAGAGCTGCTCTACTTTCTTCTGTTTCATATGTGAGTTCCACATAAAGTTTGATTTAAAATAGGAATTCTTAGCAAAAAAAAATTTTTTTTGCTTGTATAATCTTTGATCTAAGATCTTTTTCCCCCTTTAGGCTTTAGCAGAACCTCTCTTCTTCCTTTTTTCCTCCTAATTCACTCTACGCCCTTTTCACTTCAAACAGTTCTTCAAGGGTTCATGGCCCCTTCTTGTCAAAAACTTTTCAAGAATTGGCTGGGTGGGGAGGAGCATAGAACACAAACAGGCAATCCACAAGTGTAAACAGTCCACAAACAATGTTTAATCAAAGACCTAGAAATTAAAACAATATTGGGTGACATACCAGTTTCCAACTCTTAGGTGGCGAGTGTGGAAGTGTTGGTGAGGGGCCTGGGAGATGCACGCAGGACCTGCCGGTGAGAATATGAATCAGCTGCACACTTTGAGGGTCAATTTGACAGTATCTTTTCATTCAGAAATTCCAGTGTGAGGAATAATAGCCTAAGAAAATAGCAGGACAATTGCCCAAAGGTACATATGCAGAGTGAAAAACTGGAAGCAACCTAAATATGCAACTTTAAGGAAGTGGCTAAATAAATTATGGTAAGCCCATGTAATGACATCATTACAAAAATATTACTGTTCTGTGTCTACTGATGAGATTAAGTGAAAACAATAAGTCATAAAGCTGCATACTGCGTAAACAAAGATATTTATACATACTCATTTTAAAGGTGAAATGGTACCTACTGAAGTGTTAATTGTGGTTTTTAATGATCATAGAATTATTATGAGTGACTTATTTTCATTTGTCTAGGTTTTCTAACTTCCCTTCAATTAAAAGATAAATTTTAATTAATCAAAGTTAATAAAAATTAATTTAAAAATAAAAACCTTTTTAGCTACTGCAGAACTGTTTGATGTCCAGGGTTTGCAGGTGACTCTTCTCCAAATTTTGGTTTATTTCTTGAAGAGAGAAACCTTTAACTTCCAACTTGGGGTTGACAAAAGAACCCAGACTTCCTGCTAAGCCACTCCCTCTTCCCAAACAAATCAGGAAAGAGGGATTATGATTTTGGTTTAGATGTGATCCATAGATTGACCTGGACCTTTTTAGAAAATTCATAAATCTACAGCTCAAAGACATTTACTTATTAAATACATTTGTATATTGGTTAGAAAGATAACTGGTTATGAGATGTAAGTGGACTATTGATCAAGATGTCTGTATATGATGCAGTATTCTGTTATGAGTAATTCTAAAATCAAAGACTACTGGATAGATTTGACATTAGCCTTCACTGGAATAAGATAACCAATTAGTAAAAGAAAATTATTGAAGTCCATTACAGCTATTCTGAGTTGTCTTGTTGTTTCTGGGCACATCTTAGTTAAAGGGAAAAAGTACAGTGGAAGGAGAGCTTGGAAATCAGGGCTGTAGTTATCTGACAAGTTGTGCATTATTAACAGAAGGCAGACTCAAAGATTTAACTGAAGATTTCTTGATCAGAAATAAAATCTGTAAACTAAATTAGATTTCTTGGTTGCTGCTGTTAATGGGGACATTTTATTTGGAATCTTTTTCAGGTGTGTAACTATGCTACCATGTATTTTTGTTTTTTGTAAACATTAAAATTGGATTTATTAATAACTTAAGACAAAAGCCAAACAGTCATATTTCTATGTTTCCTCTAAAGAAATGTAAATTTACCATTTTTGGCAATGACTAACAGGTTGGGCACACATCTAGATTTTAAATAAGATCTTGAATACTCCTGATCACATGAAACTTATGAAAATGCATATCATTGTTTCTAATACTTAGAGTATGAACCATCTGTTCCTGATCTTCAAGAATTTATTCTTCGAGTATTAAGTGGAAACAGGATTTCCTAAAGCTTTAGACATCACTTTCTCAGCTTTCCTGGTGATTTCATGTAAATCTGTTTTTAATCATTTTGACTAATTTTCATTATCACTTTGGGAGGTAAATAAAATCTGGAATAATAAGTGTCTTTTACCTAGAAAGCATCTGTCATTTTGAGTTTGGTAGCTAACAGCGATGAAGGGTGATCATACTCTCCCACCTGTCCCTGAATGACATAAATAACATTTGGTTTTTTTGTTCTTTAAATGGAAATAAAGTTTTACAAGAACGAAATAAAGGTTACTCATTGTTTTTTTGCAGCTGTAATCCAAATATGCTTTATAGATTTTTTTTTTTGCAGAAGTTAATGAGGTGATGAATTAATAATATGAGTTAACTGTACCTGAGATTTCTCTCCAGCATAAGGAAAATAAAATATAGAAACACTTTTATGGTAAAGAAGTTGCTTCTTGGCATTTGAACAAATAACTTGGGCAGGTAATCCATTACATCAGTCATTTTCACTTTCACTTACTGTAATTTTGGGTTATAGTTGCTCGGGATCATTTTGATCATCGTTGATAATTCTTTTTGTTACTTCTTCTTTCCAAATTTTACATTGTTATGAGCAGAATCTGTTTAGAGCAGTTCATATTATTGAGCCAGCATATATTTTGCATCAACCAGTAGAACATAAAGTACCCAGTATGGTAACAATGTATAGAAAGTCATGTTTTAAAAGTTTGATGACTTCATAGTCAAGGTGATTTTAATTCGCTTAATAAAAGCATAGTAACTATAACAAGAGTTGATATTCATTGTCGGATAACATCTTAATACTGCTTTTCTGATTTAGGGCATCACATTTTAAAAGAGGTTGAATAGTTATACTCCTGACTGTACGTCAATTATGCTTCAATAAAAATTTTAAAATAAATAAAAGAGGTTAAATCCCCTTTCATTTAGAGCTACTGCTAGGCACAGTGATCGCCATGGTGGGGAAGGCTGGAGAAATGGTCAAAAGATGGGATCAGATGCTTCTACTGGGATGAGGCTGGCACTAGGTTTGACAGATCCAGCCGAGGTCTAGTCAGCATGCCAAAGCAAGGCAAGGACATGGCAGTGGAGAGCAGTTGGCAGTCATTTCAGCAACCAGTTGGCATGAGGGAGTTTCAGCATGAAGTAGTTAAGAGTTTCTCTGTAGAGCCAGGGTCCTAGAATGTAACCAAGGCAAAACAGAATACATGGTACCAGAAGAAGGACCCAGGTCTTGGGAAGAAACTTATTTATAGAACTGAAGAACAGAATGATAACACTGGACTAATTTTAGGGGTAAAGTGGTACTGAGTCCCAGAACTATTAAGCCTCTCGTTTCTGGCCAGGACTGCTTCTAGAAATTGGGGTGGGACCCTGACATAGGTGGGCATCTAGTAGCCATCAAATGTGGAGAAAGAATGCTGCAGTGGATTGGGAAAAAGGAACATAAAACATAAATCATAGTATGTTCAAGTATGGGAAACCATTAACATAGACTACAATGTGAATGAGTCTTAGAGCTGTGCAACATGGTGGCCCTGGAAAGGTGCATTAAAAAAAATCGAGAGAGAATCTGCTGTAGATAAGAGTGCCATTTGAAGGAAAGCCAGGAATACTTGGTGGAAGAGTTTATTCCAAATTGAAAGGCATAGGTCATAAGTAGATGGTTAAACTCAGGACCTTAAAACAAGAACCAAAACTGCTAGGCTTAGTCGTGACAATAATATGATGTAATCATTTCAGGACCAAAAGGCAAATGTAAATAGCAGTCTGAGACCAGGGACCAAAACATCATCAGAAGATATAATACACTTATGTTTGGAAAATTGGATCGTTCTATAATCTGAAATAAATATACAAGCCTAGACTAGAGAACAGTCCAGAAACTAGGTCAAAAGGCTAAGCAGATTTAATTGACATTAGATTACATAAAAATAAATTTGGCAATAGTCTATAGGATGGCAGAAGCCTGTAGCAACCCAGGCATGAAGTAATAAGGGTCCAGATGAAATTATGCTTTAATAAAAATTTTAAAATAAATAAAAGAGGTTGAAAGTAGTGGCAATGTAAGTAGGGAAACAATGAATCTATGTGTCTCTGTAAGGGAAGAATTAGTAAGTGTTGGTGACTAGATGAGCTTAAAAGAAGAAGGAAAAGTCACTTCTAACTCCAAAGCCACAAGAAAATGTGGAACTTAAAGAGGGGAACAGATGACTGTGGGTATTCTTTGAAAGGACAAAAAGTTTGAAACGACAGACATTTGAGTTGCTATGCATTAGATATATTAGCCCTTGGATGAAAAGGTAGGTCTGGAGGAATAGATTTAGGAGTTTTGTGTACTTTATAGGCACAAGATTGCAAACCTAGCACCTTAGAGGTGACCTTGGTTCCTACTCAGTATTCTACTTGCAATTTGAATAGGTTGCTATGCCGCCAGAAGCCTATGTTGTGAACAGCATGGTTCATACCACAGTGAGACTGACAACATACTTTCCCACTTATATGTGCCTTTTTCCTTCAAAAGTAGAGACCTCTATCAAAAAAAGGCTTAACTTACTATATTGTTTATAAAGAATACAAATGCATTGCTCTTGTTTGTCCAGAAGTTTTAAAATAAAGTTTTTCTGAAGCCCTAAAATAAGATGGGGCCTAGAAAGCTTTGGCTGGGTGAGTGGGGATGGTTAACGTTAACAGGAGGCTGAGCAGGTACAGCTGTGTGTTACCCATTCCTAATTTGACCAGAGCTGCTCTACTTTCTTCTGTTTCATATGTGAGTTCCACATAAAGTTTGATTTAAAATAGGAATTCTTAGCAAAAAAAAATTTTTTTTGCTTGTATAATCTTTGATCTAAGATCTTTTTCCCCCTTTAGGCTTTAGCAGAACCTCTCTTCTTCCTTTTTTCCTCCTAATTCACTCTACGCCCTTTTCACTTCAAACAGTTCTTCAAGGGTTCATGGCCCCTTCTTGTCAAAAACTTTTCAAGAATTGGCTGGGTGGGGAGGAGCATAGAACACAAACAGGCAATCCACAAGTGTAAACAGTCCACAAACAATGTTTAATCAAAGACCTAGAAATTAAAACAATATTGGGTGACATACCAGTTTCCAACTCTTAGGTGGCGAGTGTGGAAGTGTTGGTGAGGGGCCTGGGAGATGCACGCAGGACCTGCCGGTGAGAATATGAATCAGCTGCACACTTTGAGGGTCAATTTGACAGTATCTTTTCATTCAGAAATTCCAGTGTGAGGAATAATAGCCTAAGAAAATAGCAGGACAATTGCCCAAAGGTACATATGCAGAGTGAAAAACTGGAAGCAACCTAAATATGCAACTTTAAGGAAGTGGCTAAATAAATTATGGTAAGCCCATGTAATGACATCATTACAAAAATATTACTGTTCTGTGTCTACTGATGAGATTAAGTGAAAACAATAAGTCATAAAGCTGCATACTGCGTAAACAAAGATATTTATACATACTCATTTTAAAGGTGAAATGGTACCTACTGAAGTGTTAATTGTGGTTTTTAATGATCATAGAATTATTATGAGTGACTTATTTTCATTTGTCTAGGTTTTCTAACTTCCCTTCAATTAAAAGATAAATTTTAATTAATCAAAGTTAATAAAAATTAATTTAAAAATAAAAACC